AAAAGCTCGTTACAGGGGTCAAGAAAAGAAAAAAAGGGTGAGATTAATCTTGAGCTGAAAATTAAAAAAAATATTGTGCAATTGTGAAAAATGTTGAGGGCTTAGATATCTAGTGGGTTTGAATTGCTTAGTATGTGCTTGATTATCGAAACACTCATAAATTGAGAGATTTATCACATGCTTGAATTGTTGACATTACCGGTTAAAATTAACCAAATTTGAGTGGTGTAAGAAATTAGTGTTGAAATTCAACTTAGAATACACCATTGGGAAGAGAAAAAGAGATTTATCACATGCTTGAATTGTTGACATTTCCGGTTAATATTAACCAAATTTGAGTGGTGTAAGAAATTAGTGTCGAAATTCTACTTAGAATACACCATTGGGAAGAGAAAAGGAAACAAGTTTGGGGGTATATGAATCCAACGAGTAAGGTAAGGAAATATTTGACTTTTAAAGTCGGGAATTAGATCAACTTATAATTGTACAGTGTTGCAGTTGATTTTCCACAGACACACACCCGTTTTGCATTGAATATGTGAGAATTTAGCTTATGCATTATAGTTTTGAAGTGATTCATGAAATTGATGCTATGTTTTTAATCTTGAGCTAAGAAGGCAAATATCTAACACAATTTATTTTAAGTGATTTTGCTCGTATTTATTTGTTTGTGTGTTTTTTAGCGATTTTCCTTAGTTTGGTGTTTGCTCGAGGACAAGCAAAATATTAAGTTTGTGGGTATTTGATGAGTGCTACACACTCATGATATTTATACCACTTAATTTATTGTTTTATTACCATTGAGAGTTTTAGAGTGTTTTTATGTATGTTTTGATGTTATGATGTAGGTTGAAGAGATTGAAGAAAATAAGCAAAAGTTGACAAAATTGGATAAATGAGCTAAATTGTAAGAGTTCTAAAGTTCGGGGACTAAAGCGCAAATACTCAAAAGTTGCGCCAAACCTCATGATGAAGATTTGAGAGTGTTAATGGTCAATTGGATGAAGAAAGATGTCAAAGAGATCAAATATAACCAAAGAGTGAGCACACATCAAATTTCAACAGAAAACGTTTTGCTCCGAACTTTTAGTCTCATATTTAGACTCACGTTTGACAGAGTAAACAATCGAATTGGAGGATATGTCTGAAGAGAAGTTGTAGTTCTTTGCAATAGTTTTCCAACACATCTTGAATCGTCTCAATCGGATACCAGGAGAAATATTTATGATAAAAATACTGAAAGATGTGCAGTACTTTGTTCCACCCAAAACGGGCGCCACAGCGCCACCTTCTCTGAAATACAACAAAATATGCGGCACCATAGCGCTGCTACAGTGGCGTCGAGGCACCGCTGGGTGCGGGAAAGGTGTTTTTATATTTTTGGAATCTTTTCTTGGCCCAATTTAACCCTAATTCGTCCTCAAACTCTAAAACACTTTAAATACAAGTTAGGAGACCTAATTTTAAGGGGGGTTCTTGTGGAAGAAAAAGGGAAAAACGGTTGAAGACAAAGGATTAAACACAAAGAATGGAAGAAATCAATTGAGAAAGCATGGAAATATCAAAGGGGACTTCGAGCAACACTCCAAAAAAAGTTTTTCTTACATTCTCCTTTATATTTTCCATTGTAAATTGTTTAGATCTTATGAATTCATTCATGAACTAGATAATTTATCTAGGGTTTGATGTAGCCAAACTTGAAATTATGGATTGATGGTTTTTCTTGATTATTTCTATTTGATTTTCCCGTTTATATTTAATTGTGTCATGATTATAATGCTTTCAATTACCTGATCAATAGTTGAATGAGTAGATGCTAGTCGATTCCGGCACTCGAGAGAGGGGAATTTATGCACGATCATAGGATTGACACAACGTAGGTTTTTGCACTTTGAGAGAAGGTAATAAATCTATGAGGCTTACTCCATAAAAGAATCGGAACTTTTGTAAATTCTAGGCTTTAATTCGGAATAGAGATATTGGGATTGAAGTTTATGATTAAATTCTAGCCGGCACTCGAGAGAG